CACTTCATTTTTTTTAATCCATCGTAGTAACAAAATGGCTCAAAGTTCAGACAGGAATCATGGTTGTGAGCTGGGTCAGTTTCATCACATTAGGGAATAAAGACTAGTTACAGAATTTTTGTGGATGGGTTTTGTTGTATAAATACTCAGAAAAGTAAGGAAGACAAAATATATCTTTGGCTGCTACTCAGCCAGACCTCAGAGCTATCTAGAATGACATTCAGGATGTTATAGAAGTTCAAAGAAGCTGGGTGCCAGTGGCTCATTCTTATAATCCAAGCTACTCACAAGACAGATCTGAAGATCACAGTTCAAAGCCAGCCCAGGAAGGAAAGTCTGTGAGACTCTTATCGCCAGTTAATTACCAATGAGCCAGAAGTGGAGCTGTGGATCAAGTGGTAGAGTACCAGCCCTGAGTGATAAAAAGCTAAGGAACAATGAGTGTCTAGGCCCTGAGTTCAAGCCCTAGTACTGGCACAGTATCCTTTGTTGTATTATACCTAATATGTATTCTTATCACATAGTAGATACTCAAGTGTTCCTTTAATAAATGAATTTCTAATACTTCACTCTGTATTGACCTACTCTGTTGTATACTCCCAAGGAATGATGTATATACAGCATGCCTTCCATGTACCTACAGTCTCTGCTGCTTCATGGCTCCTGCTAATTTCCTTCTCTCAGCCTCTTCCCCTTTTCATGCCATGGCATTGTGTGCAGATTGTATATCTCATTCAGATAGAGACATTCTGGTTGGATGGGTCCACCATTATATTGCAATACAACAGGCCCTCATAGTTGTACTGAGCCCTGGTGAAATTATCTGTGATCAACTTGCAAGGTCACAAGAGTATAAGGTATGATGCTTATAGAGGAATGTGGTTAGGCAGACACTTAGAATGTTGTTCCCATAATAATAAGTTAGAGTCTGCTTGGTATTCGGTTTTGTTCTAGACCAGATTCTAAGATATGGGGAAGCACCATATCAGGCTAGTTCATTGTCGCATTCCCAGAACTTGGCACAGAGTTTGGTACATAATAGGCACTGGAAAAATACTGGCTGAATACAAGCTGAAGTCTCCAGTCTACGATTTAGATGTAGGATGGACATAGTGGGAAAAGTTAAGGAATAAGTAGACTGTACTTAGACACCTTTTGTCATATAAACAATTTTTTTAAGTGGCAGGCTACATAAGGCTTCTAATCAGAAAAACTCAGACCTAGAGACTCTATCTTGTTTTACTTTTGCGTTGGTTTGGAAAGCAGTGAGTACAACACAGAGCTTCTCATTAATGGATGGGTCCTTGTAGAGGAACTTTACTTTTTCCCAGGGGATGCTACTCTCCTAAAATTCATTACAGCAAGGCTTCTGAAGCAAAAATGCTTCCAGGAACATTATCAGGGTTACAATTTGTTGAAGAGGCTGCTACATATTGGCCTATTTAAATTAAGCTGGATTTGTTTGTTTGTTTCTTTTTCTAGTACTGAGGGTTAAACTCCGGACCTTGAACTTGTTAGGCAAAGCACCCTATCAGTTAAGCTATGCTGCTAGCCTTTTTGGTGTTAGTTATTTTTTTGAGATGGGCCTGGCTGGGTGATACTGTGGTCCTATTTAGGCTTCTTCAGGTCAGTTAGATGACAGATGTGCACTTAGTGGGTCCAGTCATTGACTTAGATGAAGTCTGAAGATTTTTTTTTTTTTTGGCCTGAACTGGCCTGGAACCATGATCCTCTTATCTCTGACTCCTAAGTAGCTAAAGGCTAATCCACATGCATGGCTTCAGCTGGAAGTAGTGTTTTAAAAAATTACTGTTGTTTTGGAGGCTGGGAAGGTGGCTCAGTGGTAGAGTGTTTGCCTTGCTTACATGAAGTCCTTGGTTTGATTCCTCAGCACCACATAAGCAGAAAAAGCCAGAAGTAGTGCTGTGGCTTAAGTGGTAAATCCCTAACCTTGAGCTGAAGAGCTGAGGAACAGTGCCCAGGCCTAGAGTTCAGGCCCCATGACCCACTAAAAATAGATAGATAGATAGATATTGTTGTTTCAGAGGTAATATACAGTGGGCTTACCTTTATGTCAGGTAATAAGTACATTTCCTTCCTTTTGCATAGTGTCATCTGTTCCCTCATTCCCTCCCATCTCCTCCCACAAGTTGCGTAGTTCACTTCCATAAATGTCCAGTGCAGCCAGTGAGCTCTGCTGCTGCATTTTTTTCACCCATTTCCCACTGATTCTGTGTCCTCCCCCACCTTCCCTCAGATGTGCCCGTGTATATACTGTACACGAGGTAAAGAACACAGTCATCAGAAAACATAAAGACAAATTAAGAAATGGTCCTTTGTTACCTTATCTTTGGAGTTCATTTCAGTATGTATATAATTCTATATCCATACGAAGAGGAGCTTGGGTTTTACAACTTGGTATGGGAGCATCTAGACTCCTATATGGTTTGTCATGTCCCATTGCGTTTTAAGTCTATAACTTCTGCATATCAGGGAGAACATCCACCATTTGCCTCGCTGATTTGACTTACCTGACTTAACATGATTTGTTCTAGTTCCATCCATTTTCCCAAGAATGCCATTATTTTATCCTTTCTAGTGGCGGTGTAAAATTCTATTGTATATAAGCACCACATGTTTTGAGTCCATTCATCTATTGAGGGGCATCTGGGTTGTTTCCATATCTTGGTTGAGATGGAAGTCTTCATAGATTTTTTTTTAAAGCTGTCTTTAGGGCTAATGTTTCTTGATTTCTACCTCCCTCTCTCCACCATTATATGCTCAACCACCATTACCAACTTGGTTCATTGTCTACTATCTTTGACTCAACAGAAGAATTAGGACTATTTTGAAAGTTGAGTTTAGTTTCACTATGGCTCCCCATTTGGATCTCCCTTAACTTTTTATTTTTGCGTGTGTGTGTGTGTGTGTGTGTGTGTGTGTGTGTGTGTGTGTGTGTGTGTGTGTGTGTGTCCATATGGGGATTAAACTCAGTACCTGGGAGCTGTCCTTTAGCTTTTTTGTTTGTTTCTTTTTCTCTCAAGTTTAGTACTCTATCACTTGAGCCTCACCTCCACTTCCAGCTTTTTGGTGGTTAATTGGAAAGTTGAGTCTCACAGACTTTCCTGCCTAGGCTGGCTTCAAACCATGGTCCTCCAGTCTCAGCATCCTCAGTAGCTAGGATTATAGGCATGAACTACCAGCACCTGGCTTCACTCACATTTTGACTGGTATAGTATTAGGTATCTATCACTCTGCTTTGCACAGAGGGGCCTAATCAACACTTGAGTTAGTATAATTTAATTAGGGCATCATTTCAACTTAACAGCATTTTAATTTTGTCATAAATGTTATCATGAACATATTTGCCATCTTGACTCTAGTTGAATGGAGAAATAAAAATAAAGGCAATGTGGAGGCATTATATAGCCCTACAGCCAGTAAGTGGCCAGAGTGGCTCTGCCCCTTTATAATATGGCTTTAGGCAAGGTATTTAAACCTTATCTGACCCTACTTCTCTGTCTGCCAGGTAGGAGGAACTATATAGTACTTATGTAATGGGGGGAATAGTAGTAGAATTTAGAGGGAATGTATTAGAAACCCTTGCCTGACAAAAGCACTCAGAAAGCACTCAATACCATTAGGAATTACTGTTGTCAAGAGATTAAGAGAGTGGTTTTGAAATACACACACACACACACACACACACACACATACACACACACATATGATTATTATTTGTAGTACTGGAGTTTAACCTTTAGCTTTCTTTGTACTTGCTAAGCAGACATTGTACCACTTAAGCTACTTTCTCTTGTTCCCCCTCTCTGCCCAACTGGTAATGGGGCTTGAACTCAGGGCCCAGATGCTTTCCATTAGATTTTTTGCTCAAGGCTGATGTTCTACTACTTGAGCCACAGCTCCACTTCCTGCTTTTTGGTAGTTAACTGGAGATAAGAATCTCCTCTTGATTTTCACATCTTAGCCTGAGTCGCTAAAATTATAGGTGTGAGCACTGGTGCTAGGCTCTGAGTTGTATGTATATATGTATGTATTTATTGGGGGGCATGGTGGTCCTAGGGCTTGAACTCAGGGCTTGGGCACTGTCCCTTAGTTGTTTTTTGTTTTTTTTTCCTCAAGGATAGTGATCTACCTATTGAGCCACAGCTCCTGTTCTGGCTCTTTGGTGGTTAATTGGAGATAAGAATCTCACAAACTTTCCTGCTTGGGCTGTCCTCAGATTTCAGCCTCTCCTGAGTAGCTGGGATTATAGGTATGAGCCATTGGCACTTGGCAGGTTTGTTGTTTTTAAGCTAGGGTCTCACTATATGCCTAAGCCTGTCTGGACTGCCATTTGTGCTCCCTTTGCTAATGCAATGGCAGGAATATGCTATTTACCCAACCATTCTGCTTCCCCATAGCTTGGGGTGACAAACGTGCACCAGTGCTCCCAGATGCTGGTTGAGATGAAATCTCATGAACTTCTATGCTTGAGCTGGCCTGGCTTCCAACCATGATACCCCATTTCCATCCCCAAGATAGCTAGGATTATAGGCTTGAGCCTCTGTACCTGGTGGAAACATATGTCTTCTTGATAACATGAGATAATAGGAATTCAGCAATATAGGTTCCCTGCCCACTATTTCTGTAGTTTTGTGTATCAAGCTTTAGGAGAAAACAAGATATAGTTTTTGTCTTTGTAATATGCAAACTAACCATAAACAAAGCACAAATACTGTTTTTTTTCTATTCAGAGGTAAATAACATCTAGACCTGTAAGTTCAAGCTCTTCTACTGAATAGTTTTTGAAATCCATTGAGGCATTTCTAGGGAAGTGTATCATAGAGCATCCATAGGAAGAACTGACTGTCTTTTCATAGTGTGATTTCTGGTGATACCGTCCTAAAGAAAAACTTTACAAATGTGAGTAATGAAAAAATTGGACTGCTATCTGAAAGACATTGACCTATTAATCTGATTTTTCCTTTGTGTTTGTCTAGGGGAGACAGGCATTGGCAAATCAACGTTAATGGACACTTTGTTCAACACCAAATTTGAAAGTGACCCAGCTACTCACAACGAACCAGGTGTCCGGTTAAAAGCCAGAAGTTATGAGCTTCAGGAAAGCAACGTTAGGCTGAAGCTAACCATTGTTGACACCGTAGGATTTGGAGACCAGATAAATAAAGATGACAGGTACATGTTGGGATTTTGTGGGGATAAAAATGGATAAGGAGGGCTGGGAAGGTGGCTCAATGGTAGAGCACTTGCCTTGCATGCCTGAGGCCCTGGGTTCGATTCCTCAGCACCACATAAGCAAAAAGAAAAAGCCAGAAGTGGCGCTATGGCTCAAGTGGTAGAGCGCTAGCCTTGAGCTAAAGAGCTGAGGGACAGTGCCCAGGCCCAGAGTTCAGGCCCCACGACCAGACCAAAAAAAAAAAAATATGGATGAGGAGCTATAAAAATCCATCCTATGGGCTGGGAAGGTGGCTCAGTGGTAGAGCGCTTGCCTTGCATGCCATGAGGCCCTGGGTTCGATTCCTCAGCACCACATAAGCAAAAAGAAAAAAAAAAAAGCCAAAAATCCATCCTAGGTGAATTCAAAGGAGTTAAGTGATCTGGATGTTCTTCAAGTTGTGGATCTTGGTCCTCTTATTATGTGAAAAACATGACATCTTCATTCTCAGAGAAAATTTCTAACAATATTCTTCCTTGAGGTCAGAATCAGAAAACAAAATTGATTCTTGCTGGTATAAAGACCCTTTCTGAGTGAGTTATTTATTTATTTATTTATTTTTATGCCTGTCCTGGAGCTTGAATTCAAGGACTGGGCACTCTCCCTGAGCTTCTAGCTAGAGGTTAATACTCTACCACTTGAGCCATAGCTCCACTTCTGGCTTTTTGATGGTTAATTGGAGATAAGAGTCTCACAGACTTTGCTGCCCAGGCTAGCTTCAAGCCATGGTCCTCAGATCTCAGCCTCCTGAATAGCTAGAATTACAAGTGTAAGCCACTGGCACCTGCTCTCTTTCTGAGTTTTTTTTTTTTTTTTTTTTTTTTTTATTGTAAAGCTACTATACAGAGGGTCACAGTTACATGAGTGAGGTTATGAGTACACTTCCTCTTGAACATTGTTACCCCCCTCCATTGTTTTCCCCCTACCATCCCCTCCCTCCCTCCCTTCCCCGAGGTTCTTTTTTTTTTTTTTTTTTTGATTGTGATTAAATGATTACATAATTTCAAAGTCACAAGTTCATTCTAACTTCCCTGGAGCAAATTGTCTACCACAGTCTGTAATATATAACAGTGTTCACATGTTATATACCATATTTGTGATCAGCAGCATGAGGATATTTAGTAGTGGTTCAACCAGATGAGCGGGAGTTCTTTGTTTCTTAAGTCCTGTTAGTTTTGTCGTATCACTAACCTTTTGGATTTAGCATCCACTTATGAGGGAGACCATGTACCGTTTGTCTCTTCGTTCTTGGCTTACCTCGCTCAACATGATTCCTTCTAGCTCCATCCATTTCCCTGCAAATGCCATTATTTTGTCATTTCTAATGGCTGCATAATATTCCATTGTGTATAGATACCACAATTTTTGGATCCATTCATCTGTGGTGGGGCACCTAGGTTGTTTCCATATCCTAGCTATTGCGAACAGTGCTGCAATAAACATGGAGGTGCACGTGTCCTTGTATATTGGTTCCTGTTGTTCAGGGTAGATGCCTAGAAGTGGTATGACTGGGTCGTAAGGGAGGTCAATCTTTAGCTTTCTAAGGACCCTCCAGACTGCTTTCCAAAGTGGTTGTATAAGTGTACATTCCCACCAGCAGTGTAATAGGGTTCCTCTTTCTCCACATCCCCTCCAGCATTTGTCGTTGGCTGATTTGTGGATGTGGGACATTCTGACTGGGGTAAGGTGGTATCTCAGGGTTGTCTTTATTTGCATTTCCTTCACCACCAGGGATGATGAACATTTCCTCATGTGTTTCTTTGCCATTTTTATTTCTTCATTTGAGAAGTCCCTCTTTAGTTCCCTTGCCCATTTAGTAATTGGTTTGTTAGGTTTGGGAGGGATTAGTTTCTTGAGTTCCCTGTATATACAGGATGTTAACCCCTTGTCTGATATATTGCTGGTAAATATTTTTTCCCAATTAGTTGGTTGTCTTTCTAGCTTAGTTGCGATAGATTTAGCTGTGCAGAAGCTTTTTATTTTAAGGTAGTCCCATTTGTCGAGTCTCTCTCCAACTTGTTGTGACCCTGGGACTCTGTTCAGGAAGTTCCTTCCTGTGCCTATTAGTTCAAGTGTCTCTCCTACTCTGTCCTGCAGTAGTTTCAGAGATTCAGGTTTAATGTTAAGGTCTTTAATCCATTTTGAGTTGATGTTGGTGCATGGTGATAGGCTGGGGTCCACTTTTAGTTTTCTGCATGTGGCTGCCCAGTTTTCCCAGCACCAGCGGTTGAAGAGGCTGTGTTTCTTCCATTGTATGTCTTTGGCTCCTTTGTCGAATATCAGCTGGCTGTAGGCCTGTGGATTTATATCTGGATCTTCTATTCTGTTCCATTGGTCTTCGGGTCTGTTTTTGTGCCAGTACCATGCTGTCTTTGTGATTATAGCTCTGTAGTAGAGTTTGAAGTTCGGCATGGATAGCCCTCCCATATTGTCTTTATCCCCTAGAATTGTTTTGGCTATTCTAGGTCTTTTGTTGTTCCATATAAATTTTTGGACTGTTTTCTGTATTTCAGTGATGTACGTCATTGGGATTTTAATAGGAATTGCACTGAATTTGTATATTAATTTTGGAAGTATCACCATCTTTACTATATTAAGTCGGCCTATCCAGGAGCATGGGAGGTCTTTCCATTTCCTAGTGTCTTCTGCAATTTCTTTCTTTAACTTTTTATAGTTCTCATTAAATAGTTCTTTTACATCTTTGGTTAGGTTAATTCCTAAATATTTTATTTTTTGGGAGGTTATTGTGAATGGGGTTGCTCCCTTTATTTCCCTCTCTTCCTGTGCGTTATCAGTGTATAGGAAGGCAACTGATTTTTGTGGGTTTATTTTGTATCCTGCTATTTTGCCGAAGTGACTTATGATTTCTAAAAGTTTGGGGATGGAGTTTTTGGGATCGTGGAGGTATAGTATCATGTCGTCTGCAAAAAGGGATAGTTTCACTTCTTCTTTCCCTATGCGGATCCCTTTAATGTCTTTTTCTTGCCTTATTGCCCTGGCTAAGGGTTCTAGGACTATGTTGAAGAGGAGTGGAGACAGTGGACATCCTTGCCTTGTTCCTGTTTTTAGGAGGATTGGTTGTAGCTTTTCCCCATTAAGTATAATATTGGCTATTGGTCTGTCATAAATGGCTTTTATTGTTTTTAGAAATGTTCCTTCTATTCCTATTTTCTCCAGAGCTTTTAGCATGAATGAATGTTGAATTTTATCAAAGGCCTTTTCTGCATCTGTGGCGATAATCATGTGATTCTTGACCTTGGCTCTGTTGATATGCTGGATTACATTTATTGACTTACGTATGTTAAACCATCCCTGTGTCTCTGGGATGAAGCCTACCTGATCATAGTGTATTATTTTTTTTATGTGTTTCTGGATTCTGTTAGCTAGAATCTTGTTAAGGATCTTTGCATCTGTGTTCATCAAGGAGATTGGCCTGTAATTCTCCTTTTTGGTTGGGTCTTTGCCTGGTTTGGGGATGAGTGTGATATTGGCTTCGTAGAATGAGTTTGGGATAGCTCCCTCCTTCTCTGTTTCTCTGAAGAGCTTGAGGAGTATGGGTATTAGTTCTTCTTTAAAGGTCTTATAGAATTCTGCTGTGAATCCATCTGGTCCTGGGCTTTTTTTTGTTGGAAGACTTTTGATAGCTTCCTGTATCTCATTATAGGATATTGGCTTATTTAATTGGTTAACTTCTTCTTTGCTCAGTTTGGGTAACTTGTATTTCTCTAAAAATGCATCCATTTCCGCCAGATTTTCTTCCTTTAGAGAGTATAGCTTTTGAAAGTAGTCTGTTAGAATTGTTTGGATATCTTGGGTACGTGTTGTGATGTTTCCCGTGGCATCCCTAATCCTATTAATATGGGTTTCCTCTCTTCTTTTTTTAATTAATCTTGCCAACGGGCCATCAATTTTGTTTATTTTTTCAAAGAACCAGCTTTTTGTTTGGTTTATTTTGGTTATGGTTTTCTGATTTTCTAATTGGTTAATCTCTGCTCTCAATTTGGTTATCTGGCTTCGTCTAGTAGCTTTAGGTCCCATTTTTTCTTGTTTTTCTAGCTGTTTTAGTTGCAACATGAGATTATTTACTTGGTCTGTCTCCATTCTCTTGATGTGGGCACTGAGGGCAATAAATTTGCCCCTCAGGACTGCTTTTGCTGTGTCCCACAAGTTTCTTTGTGAGGTGTTTTCATTTTCATTGAGTTCTAGGAAATGCTTTATTTCTTCTCTGATCTCTTCTGTTACCCAGGCCTTGTTAAGGAGTGTGCTGTTCAATTTCCATGTATTAGAGAAATTTCTGCGGTATGCTTTGTTATTGAGAGCTAGCTTGATTCCACTGTGGTCAGATAGGATACAGGGGATTATGTCGATCCCTTTGTATTTGCTTAAGTTCCTTGAATGAACTATGATATGGTCTATTTTGGAGAAAGTTCCATGAGCTGCTGAGAAGAATGTGTACTGTGTTGTTTTAGGGTGAAATACTCGGTAGATGTCAGTTAATTCCGCTTGAAGTATGGCCTCACTTAATTCGGTAGCTTCTTTGCCAATCCTCTGGTTGGTAGACCTGTCCTTTGGTGAGAGTGGCGTGTTAAAGTCTCCTAGTATTATCGTATTGGGATCTATTTTATTCTGTAAGTTTGAGAGCATTTGTTTAACATATCTGGGTGCACCGATATTTGGGGCATATAAGTTGATGATGGTTATATCCTCCTCTTGGATTGTTCCCTTTATTAATATGTAATGTCCGTCCTTGTCTTTCTGTACTGATTTTAATGAAAAGTTTATTTTGTCAGATATCAGGATAGCTACACCTGCTTTCTTATTGGGGGAATTTGATTGGTAGATCCTTTTCCACCCCTTCACTCTGAGTTTGTTTGTATGTTTGGCTGAGAGGTGGGTCTCCTGAAGGCAACAGATGGATGGGTCTTGTTTTCTGATCCAGTCCTCAGTTCGTTTTCTTTTA